TTTTGTATGGCCTGAGTAAAGTAGCATCTCTCCTGTGAGAAGTCTTTCTTGACCAGATTGTAACCATCTTGTCTAACAGAGTCCAAGCAGTCCCAATTGTAGTTGCTCATCTTTTATGCAACTCGTGCCACCTTTCCACATTGTTTTAATTGTTTCCTTATTTTAGGTTCCTTGGGTACCACTCCTACCATCTCTTAGTATATTATGGAATTCATATCTCATGGTTCACGTCTCTCCTGTCATTTGGATTCAATATATATGCTGGATTACTCTAGGTAAGCTGTAATTGTAGGCTGTAATTTTTGTCGAAATGTTTGTTGAATATTTCCTATATGCCTGATATATTTTAATACCCAAGTCATTATGTCGGTAATATTTGATTCATCCGAACCATGTGTATGTACAATTTAATATGTACATTGCCACGAATTTGTTTGGTGTGTAACATTTGAAAGTTCACCCTTACAAATCTTATCCTATCTTGCAAATATTTTTTAAAGGTATGGTGCTGTATTTTGCGTACGCCATACGACATAGTAAAGAGGATCAACAAAGAAAATGGGATGACACTAAGAAAGCTTATTATGTAGAGCTTCCAACAGTTAAACCAGGAACTTTTCAACACTCATTGGAACTGCAGAATATCGCGGTGTTTGATAACAGTAACACTTAAAGATGCAGGGCGGGTCTGTCGGGTCCAAGAATGCGAGATAATTATGCATTATTTTGTACTACATCAGTAAAAACTACTTTCTGTTTAGAAGAGATCAAATATTGCGGACAAACCTCGTAACTAACCTCACACAAAAAAATCTCACACTTGGATGCGATTTACACATAGATGCTAAAAACAACCTTTTACGTAATTGGTTATATCGTCGCCGAAACAGAATTATTTTCTACACATGATATCCATTAATACAAATACTTTCCTGCACGATGCTCAACAGTTTGTTATTATGAGTTACTGATTTGTAGTATAATAATAAAGTAGTATTTTCATGGGATTTGGGATGAACGCTTAGAAAATTAATTCTTGATGGGAAAATTAAAACGAAGAACACGCGTAGCGTTGGGTCTATGCGCGCATATACTGCAACAAACTGAGTGACAAGTCAAAGTGTTTTAAACACTATTGGATAAACGTCTCACGCAATCTACTACTCCTGGTGCAACAAAAGCATTCCATTCATCTTATATACGTCACAAGTAAAACTGAAACTCTATGCTTCCATTGGCTGGTTGAATGACATTAGAACGTTTTCAAATGACGTCGCTGCGCACTGTGCTCGTTGATTGGCTAGTTTGAAATAAATATTTATAAAGATGAAGATAATGCTTTTGTTGTAGCAAGCGAATATTATTCCAGGGAAATCCCAGCAGAGATTGGGGCAAGGAAATGAAGGCGGTCATGAGGTGTACGTTCATGCAGTAGTAATTAAAGCACAGAGGTTAAACACTACCAAATCACAGAGATCGCCATTATTGCAATGCGTGGTTATTGTCAATGAGTGTCGTGCATGAAGGACTCGATGTAATACGTTTTAAAATAGTTTTGACACTGATAAAATTGTCTACGAAAAGGACAGCGTGTTAAATTTGAATATAAATAAAAATCACAGGTAAAAGAATCTATGGTGCATTTGAACGCATACGTGTATTTGTAATAATTTGAACATGTTGTAATTAAATACATTGTTTGTCTGAAGCGGCTGATGTAGTGCCGTTGCCGTTCATTATACTTCTCACCTCATTTGTTTTAATATTAGATTTAAGTACACGTTCACTTCAACTTATTCGTCAGATTGGACACGTCGATGTTACGGGTAGATGAAACTTCTGCTTCCGAATGACATTGGTATTTTGAGAAATTATCTCCAATTATTAACCAATTGACGCATCGACAGTCAAGTAACTGACCATTTAACACATGGGGCATATGCGAAATGAGTCCCGTTGATACGTTTTTGTTATTAACACAGATGCCCAGTTTGTCAACATAAATTTAGATATGTTTATATATGTTTATATATAAATTTATATTTACCGGGGTATATGTATTATTTGTTTGTGTATTGTTGGGAATCATGCTAAAACATGTTTATCTCATAAATTTTACTTTAATTTAGTTGATTATGTGTTTCTAAATGAATGGCGAGTTTTAGAATGAAGACATTTGCAGAGTAATAATGTAGTAAAATGTTGGCACATGCTAATCAAAATTAACTTTTTATATTATACTATAGAATCTGTAAGTATATGTAATTATAATACATCTGCCATAAGTTACAGCGTGCCGCAATTTTGCGGTATTTTTCGGGGTATTTTTATCCTACCATATTAGGAAATGCTAATTCCAAATGTGGGATCATTACGCGCGTAAGCGTCATTTAATAATAAAAACAAACATGGCTGCCACCAGAGTTTGACCGGACTCCACACAAAGAAGTTCGCTGATTCTGTTCTAAGTATTTTGGATTTCGGCATTCTCATGGTGTATCCTTGGAAGGAAAAGATGTATAATAATAAGGCTATAACGAGAATACCACAAAGTATGCACTCAGACAATACGCCGTCGCATCGACCTCCGCTGTGCGTCGGTCGATACTCCAGTCGTACTGTCTTCGTGCATACTTTGAGGTATCCTCGTAATAACCTCATATTATTCTACGAAAATTTCATGAATAAAATATTTAATACAGTGATCAAAATTAACAACCTATATTGTTTTGATGTCTGCACATTCACATGTATTTTAAATAATTCACACAGTCAAGTATGAAATATTTTTAGAACATCTTTAGTGGTTCGTCAATCATCTGTATTTTACTAGACGTCAATACATTAGTTACAGAGGGTTTCATAACCATTTGCAGCACCTTCTCTATTCATTTATTGATATGCAAATTAGGGTATATCTTTGTTCTAATTTTAACATTAAAATACTCAATTAAATGAGTACTAATCATCAGGCACTCGTCAGATCTTTTCATTCTGAAAATGTCAGTATCTGAATGTAGAATTAGAAATTTAAAAGAAAACCGTTATTCAAACTTGTTGTGACTGTTTATTCTACATTTTCCAATAAAAATATGGTGGTATCCGTTTCATTTTCGTTACAGTACTCATTTCAATGTTCAATAAGGGGTTTATTTACTTATCAGTCACATGACCACATGACGATTGTATCTAACGTAACATCGATTGTTAATTAGTTGTCTGTTATGCACTTTCATAAAATGTAAAGTTTAATATTATTTAAAACATTTTTTCTGAAAATAATTAGCGTGCATTTTACTTCCTGAAAACCTTTACCTCCTACACTTTAATTATAAAAGAAGATTAAACAATACCTGGCTTCATCTTATTTGGTTCATTTACATCGCTGTATCAAAGGAAAATAATGAATAAAACTCAATAGCAACCTTATGTCTTTACAGATATTTAAGACAGATTTGGACGAAATATAACTACCTTTGTATAGTATAGTGTATGTAGCCACCATCAACATACTGAGAAATCAAAAAATATATGTCAGAAACTATTTATAGTGTCAAAGATAGCCGTTGTAAGTTAAATACTTAATCAAACGCATCAATAAAAACATTCTTTATTTTTTACAAACTTTAAATTTCAGGTGACATAAATGAAGAAGGTGAAATGAAAATATAGGGTGACCCTAAAAAGTCGAGAAAATATCCTTAAAGAATTGAGTAAATATATAATTCGTTTGATGATGTTGTATAATTTTTTGCATAGAAAGATCAAGTATAAACATGTTGATCAGTGAAATAGAGAAATAAATTACATCCGTTCTACAATAAATGTTTTGAGGTCGAGAAAAATATATTAATACATTGACACTTATTTTTAACGTATTTTGTTATTTTATGCATATTATTTGAAAGCTGTGAATAAATCAGTCAGCATAATTTGCATTAATATTAAAATAATTTAAATATAATGAATTATATATTTTGATATTATACATTCTTCATCCTGTCCAACTCCAGGCATACGCATATTTTTCCAAATGTGATTA